TACTGTCCTGAGGTTCTTGTCCTCTCACCCGGGGCAAATAGATTCAGCAGATCTACCTATTTGTCAGCTAAGCCATATTTCATTGGTACATTGGCATGATTGTGGGTGTGAAGAAGAGGACGGTGTCCTTGCCACATGAAGTAGGTACCAGAACACTCAAGGACCCTCTCCTATGGCAGCCTCACCTATCCGGGGCCTCTTTTTTGGAGGACCAGTTGGGCCCAGTCTCGCTCCAGGACCCCTCTGCTGGTTCTCGCTGCCCCTTTGGAGCCTCCCCTTCTGACAGTCCCATCCCTCTAAGAGCAGCAGCTGCCATGACCTATTTGAGTTTAAGCATTCCTTCTGTCTCAGCAGGCCCTTGGAAAAGGTTGGACAGAGTCATCTGCTGATCTGGAGAGAGGCCCCTGGAGAGGAGGGAGACATGAGGCAGCGGAGCCCCATGAAGCAGTCCCCTTTCTAGGAGATTCTGCCTGTACCCTCTGCTCCGCCTGTGTGTTCTGCTCGCTGTGGCCTGGCTCACTTCTGTTCTGGGTGTGTTTGAGTCACACAGGCATCCAAATGCTGAGCCTGTGCCCTTGTATTCTGTGTCCTTAAACACCACATGCTCTAAGTCTAGGGGTGGAGTGACAGCCTTAGTGAGTGGGGTCCTGGAGCCCCTGCAGGAGGCTGCAGCCCATGCTAAAAAACCTACTTGACCTTCTCTTCTGAGAGGGTGTCATCTCCATGCCCTCAGGTTACTAGGACTGAAAACAACAGCACAGGCTGGTAGCTACACTATGTGTTGAGTAGCCATTGCTTGGAATCTGGTTTTTCTTGATTGACTTAGTGTCTATGAGCCTCAATTTCCCCATCTGTAAGTTGGAGGCAGTAGTTCTCTCAGAATTATTTGAAGCTTCATCATGTCCTTGGTTTCCAGCGTGCAGCAGGTGCTCACTGGATGATTTTGGTAATTTGGTTCTGACTGACATTACCATCACTGAGACCTTTGACTCCAGGCCACAGAGCTGGACCTCTGTCTTTGGGGTTGGGGAGGGAAGGAGAGAATTGGTGTGTAATTTTAAGTCAACTTTTATGAAGGCATCCAGAGAAGTACACACATCCTAACGTACAGGCCAGATTTGCACACAGTGAACACATCTGAGTAACTGGCAGCTGTAAAGCTCCCTGACCCACCCCCGCCCCCTGGAAGTTCTTGGGGTGTGTTGACTTCATCACATACATTTACAGGGATCTGTCTCCCAACTCTGGTGAGGGACTGAATTGCTTTCTGCCCACAGAGCC